ACAGATACTGATGCTGAGACCCAGTTGTACATACACGCAGGAATTCCATAAAAACACGAAACTGACAGCAATAATATATATTTGAAGAACCTGTAGGGTAAAAAGAGGTTAGAAAAAAGTGAAATAAATAATAAAATAAAGACGAAGAGCCCTGACGTGACATTGTGAGACAAGGAACCTTCAAAGGTGTCACTGTGTTCATTCTTTTTGGCCATCTCTAGCTGGGCATGCAGCTTGCCTGAAGAATAATTTGTTTTCCCAGGGAGACTCCCTCCAAGGGAACTAAATTTTCATTTGCCAGTGCCTCTCTGTTGGAGATTGCTTCTGGATTAGGGGTGGGTGATGTGTCTTCTTCTCCTTTCAGCTCTAGGATCCCATCTGTGGTGAACCTGTGCAGGCCACGTTCATACTGCCTCAGTTCACACTGCCTCAGTCTCTGAGTCCATACGTGTGCTGATCGTGTTGTTGTAGACTCTAACGTGGTTCTCCACCTGTGGATTACAACCCCTTTGGAGGTCAAACAACCCTTTCACAGAGGTTGCCTAAGACTATCAGAGAACAGAGATATTTCCGTTACAATTCATAGCTAGTAAAACTGTAGTTACAAATCAGCAACAAAGATAATTTTATGCGTGGGGTCACCATAACATCAGGAACTGTGATAAAGGGCTGTTGTGTTAGGAAGGTTGAGAACCATTGCTTTTGAGAACCTTGTTTCCTTGGTGTCCCCCTTCGCCTCTTCCTCTTCAACTTTTTCTGCCTCCTCTTCTGCAGGGTTCCCTGTACCCTGGGGTTGGGGAATTGATGGAGACATCCTGTTTGGAATCCATGGGTCGCTGCACACCCTGCATAATTTGGGTCTCTGTATTTGTTCTCATCTGCTTCATGAAGAAGCTTCTCTGATGATGGCTGAGCAAGGCACTGATCCATGAACTAGTAGTGTCATTAGAAGTCATTTCATTGCTGGGTAATTTTCTTTAGAACAGTATTATTTGTTTCTACCGTAGGTCCTTGGCTGTCTAGTCTCAGGTTCTTAGTCACCCAAGCAGTGATGCATATAGGTTCCTTCTCATGGTGTGGGCCTTCAGTCAAATTAGATATTACTTGGTTTCTCTCACAGACTTCGTGCCACCATTTCCCTAGCATGTTTTGCAGGCAGGATACCATAGTCGATCAAAGGGTTTATGCTGAGTTGGTATTTACATTTCTCCTGTGGTAGCATGCAGAGTATCCTCCTGTAACGAAGAGGGGTGAAAGCTCTGTGTAGGCACCAGCTTTACTTCTCCATATTCAGTGAGTTGTGTTAGTGTTGTCTTCAGCAGTGGGGCTGAAGTGCCATCAGTTTGTGGAGAGCAACCTATAGTCTTGGCAATAGCCTGGGTGATTTGAAGATTCCTACAGGACCCCTTTAGCCAATAACCCAATTAGATGTAACCCAATCCTGGAACTGGATGCTTCTACTGTCTTCATATATGTATACATTTTAGGAGGGTTCTATTGTATTAGGCCCATGCCACCCCTCAAATGGCCCTTAATTTTAGCTATCTCTTCCCATATTCCCTTCTTCACATCCATGTGCCCTCCCTCTCTCCACTTGATCTTTCCATTTCTCAATCTATATATAACTATCTATTCTAGTTCCCTACCCTAGGGAGACCTACATGTTCCCCCTAGTCCCTTACTCTGTACCTGAACTCTGTGATGCTACAGATTGTACCTTGGTTATCATTGACTTCACAGCTAATACCCACATGTAAGTGAATACATACCATATTTGTCTTTCTGGATCTGGATTACCTAACTCAGGATTATTACATGATTTCATGTAATTACAAATTTCATGATTTCAGTTTTGAAGAGCTGAGTAATACTCCATTGTGCAAATGCACCACATTTTCTTCATCCATTCTTTTGTTGAGGGACATATATGTTGTTTCTAATTTCTGACTATTATTAATGGAGCAGCAATGAGCATGGCTGAGAAAGTGCCCTGTGATAGGATGAAGCATAAGTTCATATGCCTGAGAGTGGCATAGCTAGATCTTGAGGTAGATGGAGTCCCATCTTTCTGAGTACCTATCACACTGATTTCTGGTTTCTATATTTCCATACCAACAATGGATGGGCGTTCCCCTTACTCCACATCCTTGCCAATATGAGATGTCACTTGTTTTCTTGATTTTAGCTATTTAGATAGGTGTAAGTGGAGATCCCAAAGTAGCTTTGATTTGCATTTTCCTGATGGCTCAGGATATTTTAACATTTAAGTGTTTCTTAACCATTTGAGTTTCTTCTTTTGAGAATACTCTGTTTAGATCTGTACCCCATTTTAAAATTGAGTTGTTTTATTGATATCAAGTTTATCAAGTTCTTTATATACTTAAATATTAGCCCTCTATTGAATGTGTCATTGGTGAAAAATCTTTTTCCATTCTGTAGCTTGCTACTTTGTCCAAGTGATGATGTTTTTTTGTCATGTAGGAGCTTTGCAGTTTCATGAGGTCCCATTGTAATTTTTAACAGAACAGCAGCAATGGGGAAGGAATGTTTGTATCACTAACAATGTTTAGTTTTGTGCTACACAATTAAGTTCTAAAAACCTATGTTTGTGGATTTCCTATTCATTGAATGACCAGCGCTGTTAGCCTTCCATAGACCAAACTGATTATGCAATTCTTATTAAGAATCATCTTGAAAAGGAAGTTCTGAGATCAGTGAAAAAGTCCTCATTGAGCAGCATTTGCCACTCAAGGGCACACAAGTACTTTCCTGTCCATCCCCCACAAAGCAATGCAAATTTTTAAGACTGGTGACCCTAATTTGGAGAACAATTCAAAGCATTTTAGAGTAATGGCAAATGTCCATGCTTGCTGAAAGGAGATTTGCTAGGGAGAAAGGGAGGTATCCTATGGTCAGGTCAAACTTTAGTCAAGAAATATATCTTTAAAGTCTTAGTCAAAACAATAATTCAGTGAACTTGTCTCTCGAGGGAGTTTTGAAAGTATGTAACACTAACCACAGTAGAAGGAGCTTTTAGTGCTGTGTTTGGTTTTACATATTTGCACGAGCACATTGTTTGATTAAACAGGCTCAATATAAATATATGTAAGAACGAACTTTATCCACTTTCAAACATCACAAAAATTTGGAGCTTCAATCATGCATTTTGACTAGGCCAGAAATATTTCTTCATACCATTCAAGTTTAGTATCCAATCCAATGCCTTTTGAAATTCAAACTATCAAAACTTCCTGTCCTCTCACTATTCCCTATGCCCAGGAAAGAGGAACTACCTAGGCTTCCCTAGAACGGAAGACCAGGGGTGATGAGTCTCTTCTCTGACTCTCCGTCCATTACTCAGATCATAATGGCTTCTGAGAAAAGATGAGATTGTGACTCCAAGAGGGCTCACATGTACACAGTCCTCTTCCCTCGTTACCATGGCAACAAGCAATCCTCCCATAAATCTCCATTTACACAAAACGCAGCTACCTTTCCTGATAGGTCTTCATAATGCCTGGTCAACCAAGGAACAGAGCCTGCCTGGGGTGATTTCTTTCTGTATCAGTATCACTAAGTGCTCCCTCAGCAACACTTCCCCCAGCTACAGACTTTCCCACAGCCCTTTCTGGAAGTGGAGGAGACAGAGACCAAGAGAAGAGAGTGAGTGGAACAAATGGAAACTTCCTTGAGCCCTGATTCCCAGGCCCTCCACTGAGGGAATTGATGGGAGGGGCAAGGCAAAAGGCATTGGGAATGCTTCATAAATTCTTTATTTTAAAAAAATCACATCCTGTGCCTTATGTATGATTTACTCTGTGAAGGAATAATCCAAAGGTTTAGAGTTTAAGAAATTGTCTGAACCAGGTGCTTTCCGTTAGTAATTTCACAATGTACAACCAGCATCCAGGAGACTTCTATGAATTTAAAGGGTGAGGCAACTGGCAAGTTTTATCCTAATATACAAATCCTGACTGGCAACTGTGTGATTTAAATGGTAAATGTGTTCTATAGGCTCTGATATTTGAACACTCAGCTCCTAGTCGATGGCATTTTTGGGGGAAATTTAGGCGGTGCAGCCTTGTATGGAAGAAGTACCTCACTGATAATGGGCTCCGAGATTATAAAATCTGGCTCCAGATCTCTCTTTATGTCCTTGCAGTGTGATGTGACTTCTCGCCTTTCTGTTAATGCCACCACACCTGCCATTTGCTCCTATGCCTCCCCATCATGATTGACTCTTGTCCTTCTGAAACTGTAAGGCAAACCTATTCTTATAAAAGTTGTCATGGTCATGGTATTTTATTAAGGCAACAAAAATTAACCAATGCTGCAACTATAGAGAAGCACAAATTTCCTTTATCACGTTTTTCTCACTTTCTTAAATAAATATTATCATTGATTTTTGGAATTTTTATATTACAAAATGTTTTGCCAAATAGAGAGCCCCTGTTTTTAGCCCTACATCTCCAAGAAGCAAGTTTTGTTTGTTTGGGTTTTGTTACTTAACCCAACTCCATTTGAGAACAGAATCTTAATATTAATTAAATTATAAATTTGAAGATGGTATATTGAAACAAAAAATGAAAGTTTTACTAAATTAATGCTAGCATTGCTGAGGAAGCCAGCAAGCAATGGTGATTGGTCTCAAAGCAGAATATTGAGACACAGTTCAAAACATGTTGTTTCTAGGGAATTTCTACTTTCTTCAGTGAAGAAGTAATAGGATATGGGACCAACAGACACACACACACACACACACACACACACACACACACACACTCTACAAATAAGTAGAAAATGTTTTAAAAACATTGATCAACAACTGCTCTTCCAGAGGACCTGAGTTTGGTTCCAAGCACACAGGACAAGAGTCCTACGACCACATATAACTGTGTTTCCAAATCTCAAGAGCATCCTCTCAGAAATCTTCATAAAACATGACCAAGTGGGAGCCAGCAACTCCTAAGAAGGGATTATATCCCACAAAGAGTCATTCATATCCATAGTATAGGTTTAATAAAATGAGTCAGTTTGTTGTATTAGCCTAACGAAAGAACAAAACATAGAAATCTCAACTATAGAGAAAAATCATTTGACAGATTAAGCATCCATTTGTGCCCAGCAGATGGGTCCTCTGAACAGAGAGGTCTGGTCCATATTACCCACCATCCCAGGGAACCAGCAACATCTTTCAGGGCTGACCACTGGTCCCTGGTGGCCGCAGGATTCAATTTTCTTATTTGTCTCTGTAGCATGCATATTTTTTTCTCCACAGAATATTGTCTCTACATACAGAAGTGCTATTTTCATTCTGTGGAACTGTGTTCACTGCTGTTTATTTTTTTAAATTGAAATGCTATTTACATTATCAACGAAAGAATATTTATTTTGTATGTTGAGATGTTCATAAATATGTTTTTGAGACATGAATTTGATGTGCAGAGATTATTATTTTCTTCTTCCTGCTAGTGATTCAAGAGTAGATACAGTGTAATAGCACAGAATATTAATCTCTTTGGGGTTCTTCTGTTAAAATAAAAAGGATACAATAAAAATTACAAACTCAAAGAGGCACCAACTCTAACATTTGGTTAGTATATACCATTAGTTTTGCAAAGCCACGAACTACCAAAACCATAAAATCCAGGAGAAAAACAAATATTCTTATTCATAAGAATCAATCTTGCTACCTGTCATGCTACTTTTTCATGTTCTTTGTATTGTATATGACTTTCAATAGCGAAAATACAAAAGACTATTTTTCTCTAGCATAATCTAATTGTTTTCCTCTGTGTTTAGCTTTAATTTTGATGTGTCTTCACATAGATGTTTTGTCTCATACATCAATTGCATTGTGTTTTAGTTATATATTTATGTTTCCATAATTTTAGGCATTGCTGTGGTCCACCTAATCCACAGAAGAATAGGTTCTGAGAACCTTGGTAGATATTTGAACTGGATGGTACATACATATGTAAATTATATATGTATTATATATGTTTCACTACATATAACATTTTGTAGACATATTCAACGATGATAAATTTTAATTTATATACCAGCCACAATAAAACGTTAACAGCAATAATTAGTAATGAAGTAGTTCAATTATTACAACATACTAACAAAAGTTATGTTTAGTGAGGGCTCTCAGTCTTGATAGAGTGGAGAGGAATATTGATATTGCCAGACAATGGCTGACTGCATTATAATTCAAGCTATGGTACAAGGAAATGCACTTGAAACTAGTCTCATAGATTCTGAATTGTTGGGTGCTGCACATCATTCAACACCTTAGGTGGGGCTTTCTTCTTTCTCGTGCCTTCTCCTATTCTCCCTAGGGATCCTCCTCTATCCCCTCACCAATTCTCTAGCACGCCGGTTTCTCACCTCATTATTTTTGTCCTTTTATCACCCTTCAGCCTGTGCTTTTTGGTTCTGTCCACAACACCACTTCCGGAAGAAGCGAGGTTCCCAGGAGGCACTGGGAGTGGTGGGTGTTCCCTGCTGCTGAGAGCCTTGACCTCTTTCCTGTAGGTAAACGACAGGCAAGAGTGCCGGTGACAAGGATGTGGGTGTGCAGACAGGGTGGTCTTGGGATTCCGCCAGGCCTCTAACCAGTCCTGCTAATGTCCTACTGTGCTGCCCATCAAGTGGGAACTGAAGTGGAAATGATTTTTACTGCTGTGTATATCACCGCTAAATTTCCCGAGGACTGTTTGGGAGTGAGCACATTAACTGTTCAGAGCTCCCCAGGATCCTCCAAGGTTCCCCTGCTTCTCTAATGGCCATAACCGAGATTGTAAGAAGGGACAATTATAATTAAGTGCAGGAACCAGAAGAGGCTGAAGTGACAGCAAACAGACAAAAAAAAAAAAAAAAAAAAGCATTCATTAGTGAATGCTCACATTCACCCTGATAAGCCTGGTAGGAAACTATTCGATATGAAACAAAAATAAAATCACCGAAGTTTAAAGAACGTGGGTTATGCAGTCTGAGAGCACAACAGGCTATATATAGTCTGGCAGGTGAGACTTTGACACAGCTGTCACTCACTGACTGGAGGATCCCAATATCAACCCCACTAAGCCTCGGGTTTTCCATCTGGAACTGAGATATCCCCTCTTCAGTGTTCACTTCATGAGTTAGCTCACGAGTACTCATGCTATCAAAGGTAAGGATCCAAAGGGTGTAGATGACACTCCATTCTCAGTGCAGCGTGGCACAGAGCACCAATTAGACGTGTCTAAGTTATCTGTTGCCCTTTAGAATTTCACAATTTAACTGAAAAATAAACAGCTGGAAGAAGGAGAATTAGCCTCTCCCAGGAATATGTCTGCCTGTTGTCCAATGCAGAGTGCTCAGGCCTGAAACCGAATATGAACTAACAACAAAAAACAGACTTGTTTCTATACTGTGTTATAGCAAAATGAGAATTTATTTCACTGTTGTGTGCAGAGTTGTGATGTTATCTAATCTGTACTTTTTCATGGATCTTTCTGAGGTTGCTATGGTAAAAGTAGACTCAACAGAGTAGGCCAGAGTAATACCCTGGTCCTAGTCCTCTGTTTTGCTTATTTTGTCATCTCTGTAACCACAGATCTGACAGACACATTTTTTTTATTTTGAGACAGGATTTCTCTGTGTAGCTTTTGAGCCTATCCTACTCACTCTGTAGACCAGGCTCAAAATCCACCTGCCTCTGGTTCCCTCCCAAGTGCTGGGATTAAAGGTATGCACCACCACCACCCAGCTGACAGACACAATTTAAGGGGGAAATAATTTAATTTGGCTCATGGTTTCAGAGTTTAACCTGTCCCGGCAGATTCCAATATTTCTGGGCATGTGAGGTGACAGACCATCTGGTGGCACAAACAACAACTTGGAAGCACTCCTTTGTAGTAGATAAGAAGCAACCAGGGCAAGGATAAGGGCTGGGCAGAGTCTGCACTTGAGAGACACACTTCCAGTGACCTATTACCTCCAACCAGACCCTACCTTCTACAGTTTTCCAAGCATATAAAATAGTGCCACCAGTTGGGGACCAATCATTTCAAATGTGAGCTTTTTATAGATATTTCAAATTCAAACCAGAGCATCCCCTGAACTTCTGAATTTGTTGTCATGTGGAAAAGGGGAATTAAAATTACAGATAGATTAGAGAGAGGGAGAGATGGGACACTTCCTGTTGGCCTCGTAAAACTACTGGGAGTTTTATGGTGACAGAGGACAGTGGGAAAATAAAAGCAAAATTTGGGCAAGATAGTCAATTGACCAAACAATCTAAACCACAAGCAGTAAGTGTTGGGTGAGCAAATTAACAAAAAATGAATTTAAATTATTTTTACCATTCACATGTCTCCAAAGAAATTTGCTTACTCATTAAATTGCTCAGATATTAGTGTATAGCAAAACTTCAATCTTCTGTCTTCATATAATTGCATTTTTTTTAAAAAACAAGGCTTTATCTGAAAAATAAAATTATAAATATTTCCAGGTCACATCTTTTACACACCTGGAGCAGAAAGTTTTTACTAGATTGAAACAAAGAAGCATGCTCATTATTTTACATTTTTTATGCCTATGCCCATTTTGAGTTCTTTCATATTTCTTTTCCCAGGCATCCAGATGGGGTCTAAGAAAAGCTGAACAAGGATTATATTCCATCTGGTGCTTTTAAAGAACGAATATTGTCATTCTCCAAATTTAGTTAGTGCTTTTCAACCCAAATTCCAGATTAGAGGGTTTAGGAGTTCTGAAGTCACAGACCTGGAAAACACATCAGCGAATCTTCACAGATTTACCTTTATTAAGCACCATATGACAGAAAAGATAAGAGGAATTTCACATCTCTAACAAGCCCATGTGCAGCTCCACTGCCATGAGGATCCCTTACCTGAGTTCTCAGGTGTCTAATAATTCAAGGCATCATGGAGAAAAATCAAATGACTGGAAGCCAAGGAGATTTTAAGTTATACCCTGTTCATTAATTGCTAGTTCCATGGGCCTATAGAGCTTCCTCTGGTTAATGGCTGATCCCCTCTCGTGCCCTGTAGAAAATGTGACCGACTCAAACACATTAGAATTCTACAAGGGCTCATGTGAGGCAGAACCCTTAAGTTTTTTCCCTAGGAAGAGGTGCTGGGAAATGTGAGGTACTATCATATTTCTGAAGACATTCAAAAAAGTAGATTCTAAGACACAAAGGAATAAAAACTTTTACCAGAAGAAAAAAAAAGCATAGAGCAACTCTCATTGTCATTATTAATAGTTTTACATCTTCAAACCTTGAACATAGAGCCATAACACAGATGATCTCCTGATGTCAACACCTCTGACAATTGCATAGGATGACCTAGAAAGTCTGTGAACTTAGACCAGCACTAGGAAAAGTCAGTCCTCATCACCACTGGATGGTAACTTCACCTATCACCTGCCCCATTTCCTTTTAATTTTTTAAGATTTATTTTATTTCATGTTTACGAGTATTCTGCCTGCATGTATGTCTGTGAACCATGAGCACACCTGGTACCCACAGTAGTCAGAAGCGGGCATCGGGTCCTCTAGAACTGGAATTACGAACGGTTGTGAACTGTCGCATGGATGCTAGGACAAACCTGAGTCATCTTTGAGAAGAGCAGCAAGTGCTCTTGATGGCTGAGTGTCTCTTCAGCCCCTGCTGCACTGCTGTTTAGCAGCTAGTTACATTTTCATTATGTTGTTTCTTCTCCTCTTGGAAATCACATAAATGTGAATATGTGCTTTAAGGGTGTAAAAGGAAACATACTCTTGAAATGCTAAGCATGCCTATAATTATTTAGCATCTGCTGAAATAAAGGCAAGAGTTGTGCCAAACAGAGAGTGTTATGTATTTTTTTAAACTATCTTAGAAACTGGAGAAGAAAGCAGAATTTTGTCAAGAAGAAAAAATAAGGGAAAGTAGCTAAGCACTGTTTGAGTTAAAAATCGAGAATATCTCAGACTGAAGGTTGTATCGCTTGGCTTTCTTCTGCCTTGTTCTGTGTTGATCCATATTATAGATTACAGCCTCTTGTGGAATTGTTGTTGTGTACATCCTGGTCAGGAACTGAGAGCCCAGATGACATGTTCTTCACCAGGTGTCCCTGGATCAAGGAAACAGCAGGAAAGATACTTACAAATCATGCTCTCAAGAACTAGATCAGGGGCTGGAGAGATAATGACTCAGTGCTTGAGAGCACTGACTGCTCTTCTACAGGACCCGAGTTCAATTCCCAGCAACCACACAGCAACTCCTAACGATCTATAACCACAGTTCCATGGGATCCAACATTCTCACACATACAAATGTGGACATAAAATCTCTCTCACTCCTCTCTCTCTCTCTCTCTCTCTCTCTCTCTCTCTCTCTCTCTCTCTCTCTCTCTCTCTCTCTCTCTCTCTTTCTCTTTCTCTTCCCACCCCCACCCCCAGTGGAAAGGCCCTGGCTGCAATATCCCACCAACCTTCCTGCCCAGCGCAATGTCGGAGTAACATTCTCCAGGTAAATATCTTGCTTTGCTGTCTATAGATTATGAAGCTGCTAAACTAGATCTCACATGCTAGCAAGGACCAGGTAACAGAACCAAAACATAAGACCCAGAAGGGACCTTAAGATATTCCCCATGATAAATAGAGGAAAAACACCAACTCTTGTTAAAGGGTGACCAAGTCACCAGGAAGTGAAAGAAACCTCAAACAGAGTCCAGGTCTCCACAACTCCAGGGAAAATTCTCTCTCAATCCACTATGAGTTCAAAATCATAAAAATTCTGCCTCCTGATGAGGTCTGAATAAGACATAAACATCTATAGGAAAATCCTGTTCTCTGATGGCTATAGTCTGTGATTTCCCTGGGTAGAGATCATTTCTCTTTCCCCATCTTCCCAGTCCAGCGATTTTAACTTCTTCTTTCCCTGAAATGGCTCATTGCTCGAGAATACTTACCTGTAGGGACTTCCGAATGCAGAACAAATACTTCCTGAGCAGGAAGAGAGGAGGTGGGAACATTGCCCATTTCTGTGAAGAACTGTAATGTCATTCTCCCGTGTGTGCAATGAGTGTGTGGTTGTTACATCTCCCGAAATCTTTCTGGTGGCACTTTGCATCACTTCTCCTTGGGCTTTATGAAGGGACTGCTCCTCCTATTTTTCTGTGATTTTATTTTTAAGTATTAAATGGTGGTTATGAAAAGACTCTTGGTCTCAAGACTACATTCATATATATGTTTTCTTCTGATTTATATGGAAGCGATGCACACATCAGAGGCTCAGCCCTTGGCCCATAACTTGCAAGCATAAAATTAAAGCCTCATATTGACTGAAAAGTATAACACATGGGGAACAGCATTATAACTGCTCAGTTCTATAAAGAGAGTAAATTTAAATAATGGGCCAAACAAGAGAATGTTCTCAGGTCTCTGGAGAAGAATCCATCACCATTCTAGATGCGACTGCTTTACTTGGAGGAGGTAGGGGAAAGTGTGGTTGATTCCACTTGGAGGAAGTCTACCTTCAGATGCTGTTATGGGAGTGATGGGTTGGGATGCATCCTCTCAGCAAAGTGTGAAATGGTTAACCAGCATTTGAACTTCAGTGGAGATGTGGGCTCAAGTGTGGCACAGGCAGAATGAGGGAGAACAGTAGCTAAAGGAAAGAAGCAGAGTGAACTAAGATGTTACAACAGGAAGAGCTATGGAAGCAAGGCAAAGTCCAACTGGGCTACGAGTCATTTCTATCTTGGTTTATCTATAAGTATAACTAGAGTTCCCTGGTAGTCTCCTAAGTGGTTTCCTTATGTCCAGTGTATCCTTCTCAACCCAACTTCTGCTCTGATGTTTCTCCAGCTTATGACCCTTCAGATAGTGTTTCCATTTGACCCCTGTAGTGATACATTATTTATGATTTTTTAAAGCTTGCCTGAAGATTCAGAAAGCAAAGTCAGCCACAAGCCAGACACACAACTTTCATCTTAGGACTCAGGACTAAAAAGTAGATGGATCTCGGTGAATTCAAGGCCACCCAGATCTACACAAGAGTGAATCAGTCTAAAAGAGAATTATAACTCACACTTTTAATCCCAACATTAGGGAAGCATGTAAGACACATTCTCTAGCCACACTGAAGAGAGGTAGCAGTTTGAGACTTGGTGAAGAACTCGTGTGTGGCTCTGTCCTTTTGGTCTGAGCTAGATATGAGAGTTAGTGTGTGGGGATCACAGACCCTGGCCGGAAACCCACCCCTCCATCAGCCTGGGAGCAGGCAGCTGCGAGATAATGTTTGCTGAAAACAATTCAGTGCCATAAAGCTCTTGGTAGGGCTCCAATAAGGGCTCGCTCACTGAAACACCATGACTTTGATCCCCCCTACGGCTAGATGCTTCTTCCTGCTCCCTGCTGTTTCTACCCGATTCTGGTGCCGGAGATTTAACGACCAGCCAGGAGGGTGAGAAGTCTGGGAGAGCTGTGAGAGGTGTGTGAGAGCTGGGTTGGAGAACTGTATGTGTATGGATGGCAGAAGTCTTTAAAAAGGGAAGCGTTTTTTCTTGGGGAGTTCTCCTAAGCCGACTTGGGGAGCATAAAGTTTTCTTAACGCAACCGACCGGTCTCTGTGTCATCTATCCCAACCACCTCGCTACATTCTCAGATGCAGGCTGCTCAGCAGGTGCGACACTAGTGGCCAGCTGCTTTGCTTTTCTGATCTTCAGCCTGAAGTTTGAACGCCAATATCAGCCTCTGGATCACTTATTTATTTGTGATGCAGACACCAATCAGTGTTGAACCAGGATTCTGGTATTCTGCAGGAACAGTCCAGCTGAAAGGGGTCCTCCTCAGACACACTAAGGCAAAGTTCCTGAAAACCCAGACTGAAGGGAAGAAAATGAAACCTAGAATTCTTCAGTTTTACTCATCTCTCTCCAGTTGGTAGAAATAATATTTCCCCAGTATATTTCAAACTATGATAGTGAACACAGGAATTTCTTTCTCAAATTGTTTAAAATGGAGAAGAAACAGGAGACCTTCAAGAAGCATTGGTTAAATTAAGTTCTTTAAGTTCATTTGTTCAGACAATAATTGAAGTCTGCCTTCTGGTGCCCTGGTCAGAGCCTACTGAGGTCTGGGGATTGTGCACTGGGGAACCTCTTCCCTGCAGAACAGCCCATGCAGGGTCTGCCAACATCCCAGTACAAGTTCCACCATCGCAGTATTGTACCTGTTTGCACCCACCACAAGTGAACCTTGGATACTTACCCACAGGAGAGGAGGAGACTCCACCTGCACACACTGGAAAAACGGATGGGAAGAAAACA